TGTTAGCTTATGACAGCTTTAAAGTATTTCCTCTTTCTAGCAAATGTGCAGAGAGAATCACTTAACACCAAAACAAAACAAAACAAAACAAAACAAAAACAACAAAAAGTATTTTAAGAACCAAAGAAATACATTGCTGATGAAATTCTAGGGGCCTGAGAAAGAGGTAGAGAGGAAGGAAAATTTGTAGAGCAGGGGTTCTATGGATCACCCCTTAAGCGTCACTGTTCAGGCCAGTACCGATTCTTAATGTTCTTAACAAGGAGCTTCCCTAAGGAGATATAAGCAGAACCCCCAGCCTTCACCTCAAATCCTTTCAGACTGGATAGGTGGATATCCAGCAAGAAGTGTGTGAGTGTGTCTGTGCTTCTCCATCACCCCTGCGATGCTGCCAATCAGTTGGCCATTTCACTCCTATTAACAGGCTCCCTCATGAGAAGCAGGGACTTATGGGCCAACTCTACCAGGCTCCCTGGCATTAGCAAGGTCACTGCAGTTCCATGAAAAGGTAAGGGAAGATACAAATCAATAAAAATTTAGATCCATGTTTTTCAATTCCCAACCTTGAACTGATGCTGAGTAGCATATAGTAGTAGGAAAGGCTGTGAAGTCCAAAGACTGGAGCTTTGAGCAACTTTGTTTTTAGTAAACTAGAATCTCTGGGAAATCTCCCAACATCTCTGAATTTCCATGTCAAACTATCTAATAGGTAATGAATAGAGGTCCTATTTAACATATAAGAAGGTAATGAAGCCATGGCCGGTGGCTCAGTGGTTAGAGTGCCAGCCTGCACACCAGAGGGTCACAGATTCGATTCCCAGTCAAGGGCATGTACCTGGGTTGCAGGTTTGATCTTCTGCCTTGGGCAGGAGGCATGTGGGAAGCAACCAATTGATGTGTCGCTCTCACATTGATGTTTCTCTCTCTCTGTCTCCTTCCTCCTCCTTCCTTCCACTTTCTAAAAATCAATGAAAAAAATATGTTCAGGTGAGAATTAACAACAAAAACAATGTAGTGAAGACCAACGAGATAATAAATAAAAAAATGTTTTAAAAAGCATTACATACTATGCAAAGCTATGAAATTTAATCGTATCCATTATAAAACAGATGACACAATGACATGGAAAACCACTGATCTATTTTTAATTTCCTTTTGTATAAGAGGCCAATATTTTTATCAGTATTATTTTTTACATTGTTTCCTTAATAATAGGACCTTTATATTTATCAAGGCACATGGCAACCAATAATTAAGATATTTCCTGACTTTCTTTGCCACTAAATGTAGCTAATGGTGAGGTGCTAGCCCACAAGAAGTGACAAAAAGTGACAAGTGCAACTTCCCTTTATGTCCTCCTTGCTGCCTTAAGTGTATATGAGATGGCAGGAGCTGAGAAGTCATCTTGGGCCATGAGGTGAAGCTGCACATTAGGATGAAAGAGAAATGAGAGTGGGCCTGGGCTTCTGTGATGTCACACACCAGAGTTACCCAACCATTTACCTTTCAAGTGAGAGAACACTTCTTCAATCTGTTTGAAGTCACTACCATTTTGAATGTCTTCGTTAAATCGGCCAAAAGGGAATCCTATCCAATAGACATATATTTATTTTTCTATCATCTATGCTCACCTCCTTGCTAGGTCTATCTTGTAGACCTCTCCCATATTCATACTGCCGCTAGACAGACTTTGGAACAAATCCTCATATTTCAAACATTGATCAAACTATTTATGACAGTTACCTCCTTTAGATGATAACACATTTTCATAATTTTTAACAGCACACGTTAATATCCTTAACTGTTGCCTAAAACTAATTGCTAATGTTATTAATTATTAGAAATAGAATACAAATAATCCAAAGGACAGGTTTTCTCCAGCTACCAAGAGGAGGCTGCCAATAGATGAGAAGAAAGCAGAATAGATAGTATGTATCTTAATCCTTAATAATAATAATAATAATAATAATAATAATAATTTAACATCCAGATACACACACACACAGACACCTCATTCCAGTCTTGTTACTAGGACTACCATTGCCAAGAGAAGGACAGAAATGTGTACCTGGAAGTTGCAGGGGTCCATAGGATGTGGAACTCCCTGGGGAATTTTTTTTCTCTCTCTTCTTGGGCTTTTAACACTAATGTATCTGGAATGGATTGGTTTTGGGATCTTAAGGCTGCTGACTGCCCCTGGACCCTCTGGCCCAGATGCCTTCTGTTGGCATCGCTACCCCGAGCTTCACTCAGCAGGTAGGTGTGCAGTCAATTTTCGGAGAACAAACGGCATCCCCACCTCTTCATTTCTATCAACATAGGACGGCAGGGATAGGACAAGTGTGCTGCTTTAGAATGAAATGTTATGAGAAAGCCCGTGTCAGTCTCTTTGATTTGCTCAGCACCGGCCTCGGGCCAACAGGAAGAGATGGTTTCTCCTCTGAACATCCTGATAGCTGGTCTCCAGCGGAGCACCATACATCACGCCTTTAGCAGCAAGGCCACGGAGAGCCTCTGACATAAATCCCGAGGTGCCCAAGGACCCGTGTGGAGTTAGCAGAGGCTGCCTCCAAGTCTCAGCCACACTCAGACTCCCTGCCAAAAAGGGAAAGTGACTTTAAAAGAAACAATCTGAATGCTTTCTAACTTGTTTGGATTTTCCACATGACAAAAGACCGGACCATTGTGTGTGTGTGTGTGTGTGTGTGTGTGTGTGTGTGTGTGTGTGTATCACGACAGAAAGCAGAAGGACAAGTTGCAGTCCTGCCATCCTAGGCAGCACATGAGCTCCTAACATCACAATGTGAAGACACAGAGAGAACGCTTCTCACTAATCCCAGCTGCAACCCTTCTTCCCTCCCTACCTTAGGAACAAATCATCGGAAAAACAAAACAAAAAAACAAACATTAATATTTTGTGAGCCTAATCTCTACCAACTAACAAGCAAGATGCACTTGGCCCCTTTAACTCACCCTCATGTATGGCTCATGAAGTACATACAGTTGCCTAAAGAGTCTTCAGTCTCTTAGCACATTGACGGGTCGGTCGGTGGCACGGAGGCCGCCTGGCTCTGGGTCACTGCCAGCTTGGTGCTGTCACAGTTGTGTCACCCATATGGGATAGAGGCATATATTCTGGGCAATAACAGCTGGATTCTTGCATGATTAGCAGGAAGCTTTTATCCCATATGGAAGAAAACATGATGGAGTTAAAAGAGCTTGCATTTTGCAGTAGCCAGACCTAGCACACGGTTCACGAGAAAGCTACTTATTGTCAGTGAGTTTCATTTTACTCACCTATGAAATTGGGGCTAAGAATATATATGTGGTTGTGAATAGATTTAAAGTATGAAAAGGCCTCCCACAGTTCCTGGCAGAAGGGAGGTCCCTAATAATGCCTTCCCTCACATGACAGATGAAGCCCAGGGCAGAGAGAAGTATCTAAGTGACTTCTCGAGCCCACCCTTTGATGGAGTCACGGGCTCCCCACTTCATGCCGGCAGGCACTCCGTGATGCCTGTGGGTTCGTTGACTCTCAACCTGAGAGAGAGTGTTCTGGGGGCTGAGATGTGGCTTACACAAAGCTGGCTTAAACATCAAACATGTTGGATATCAATGGAATTGGCTTCTCAATCTGATGTAGGAGTTTCACTCATTTTGCCTTCAGCTCCTTGAGGGGATGGATCGGATCAATCTGTAGTGAAACTTTCTGCTCACTCTGATCCTCCTACTCAATGCTAGGCAAGTGCTCTATTTCCTCTCCCATTCTCCTCCCTGTGTTATTCAAAGGCTTTGTGTTGCGTGGTTGTGGCTGGGAAAGGGTGAAAATAAGAAACACTCGGCAATGCAGTGCATTTGGGCGTTCAGTTTCGTACACTTGAGCCAGATTTGCCAGCTGTAGCCACAGTCTAACAACAAGTCAAGACCACATGAGGGTTGAAAGGTTATCAGGCTAGAAATAGTCAAGATTTCGGGGGGTGGAGTCTTTTTAAACTCCGGGGATATTGTCCCATCATGTTTCGTGTCTCCTGGCCTAAATCAAAATTATTATTTATTTATGGACCTCTAATATATTTTGTATGCCTGCTAGCTAAGCTCCTAATCTTCAGGTCAAATTCTTTTTAAATGTCGTTCCCTCTGTAGTAGTAGAATTTCAAACCTGGCAGTACCATATCAAAGAAGGTGACTGCTCCAAAGAGGTAAAACTTTAAAACAAACAAACAATAAAGATCTGTAGCCAGTTTGGAAAGGGTAGACATAGTCATCCTCCTGCTTTATGCCCCTCATCGTTCATTCCTTACATTAAAAATAAAGCTTGGTAAAGTGTGATCTTGGCATTAGTGAATAAGTACATTTTCTCCCAAATGCCCTTACCAACGTTCATGTCTCCAGGGCCATAGGCACCCTGTCCTGAATCCACCTGCAGTTCCCTAAAAAGAGGGGAAGGAAATGTGTCTCAGGGCTGGGACGCAGGGCTTTGTAGGACGTGTCTCTCTAGTGATGGTGAATAGTAGGATAATTTTGTTTTCAAAAATGGCAATAAAACACTTGACTCTTCCTATGATTTAAACCACATTCAAATACAGTTCAAAGATGACAGCAAAGAGAGGGTTGGCCTAAAACTTCATCAAAGCACTGAAAGGGACTTCTTTTTCTCTCTTGTTAAACAAACCAACATTTCCATTACAGAGATAGTATGACACAAACCAGCTTCTGCAGAGCATCCAAGCCATACTTTGGCTTTTCATGTCTGCCTCTCTGGGTTCCGGTCACCCTCACTAGGACCTGTGCTGCTGCGAGGAGATTGCAAGGACTGCTTCCTTTGTGGTGCTTCTCTCCTTGACCTTCTAACGTGGTCTCTACCGGATGCATTCCTACCCTACCTAATATCCCAGATTGGAAAATGTCAGGAAGAAAATAACAAGATGATCATCTCCAGCTGGATACAGATGAAGACAGAGAGGAAGCAGGTATCCAGCTCCAGCCACATACAGCCAGATGTCCTCAGAATGGCCCAACGGTCTCCAAGGCTACACCACAGAAGGTCAATGCGCCTGCTCATCCTCCCCCTCCAGAGGGAGGAAAGGGCAGGGGGTCACCATCTCACCACCTGACTGTTGTAGTCCTCAGTGACTGCCCCTTCTGTGTTCCCATCCTCTTTGGGCCACCGGTGGCCCCTAGACTCCCGCTGCAGCCTCCGTTCCTCCCTCCTCTTTTGCCGGTCCCTCTGGTGCTCTAGCTGCTTGGTGTGGTGGTAGCGCTGTTGGAAGAGATCTTTTGCATACTCATAAAGCTGCATGTCCAGGAAGTTTAGCTCCCCAATGCGCTGGCGAGCACCCTCATTGATCTCCACATTGGAAGCCCGCGTGATGTTGAACTGTGTGAAGGGAGAGATGAACTTGAGGTTGAATGTCCTCTCAAAGAGAAACTGTGTCTTCCTCTGGAATTCTGTGAGCCCAAAGAAGGCCATGTTCTTCAGGTTGTTTTTCGCGCTCTGCAACAGGATGGTGTTCCTTTCACTCTCATTCATGAAAGTCAAGTTGTAGCAGCCCACCAGGCTGAGGTCAGCCAGCATGCGCACCTGGCGGTTGTTAGCCAGGTTGTAGGTGCAGTCCATGAACTCCCGCAAGCTAACCCCAGACCAGTCATCCCCCGGGTAGCAGGTAGGCAGCTCATCGGGGGTGGGGCTTCTCCCATCACACATGTGGAGGGAGGTTTTCCACGTGGCCCCTCTCTGGACATGTTTCCACTCGCTCAGGTAACGGGACACTGGATCACGCAACATTGTGATGTAATAGAAATTCCTGGAAGACATTAAAGGAAGAGTGTCAGTCATGGACAACAATAAGGGGGACTCTGAACCTTTGCAGTCAATGGCTCTTCTGCCAGATGTTCATGTGAGAGTGTTTGCCTGGATTTTCTCTGATCAGGCAAATGTTCCCATATGTCCATATTTCCATAAACATGTGTGAACCAGTTTTCAATATTAAATTTGCTGGGGTTTTTCTCCCTGTGCCAGGGAGGGAGGAGTGGGGACTAGATCATTTATTCATTCAGCAATTATTCACTGATAAATTACTATCAGCAATTACAATACCTTACATTAAGAGAACACATTATGATATTTAAAAGTTATTACCAGTCCAAAATTTATTTGATTCTTACAAAAAACTTTTGTAGTAGACGTGAGACTATGTGATAGGGAATCATGCATGGAGGCAAAGTGATTTGTCCAAGGTTGTGAGAGTAGAAAGGGCAAAGCTGGAAGCCGAGGCTCCTATGCTTTGTTTACACTGCTATTCTGGATTACGAAGGAGGTGGAGTTGGGAAGGATGAGTTGTGGGTGGAGTAATGTTTACTGAGCAACTATTATGTGCTAGAAAAAGTGCTAGGTACTTGGAGGATACTGGCACAGATAACCTTCAACACAACTTTGTAAAATGAGATTTATTTATTTATTTTGAAATGATATTGAGAAATCAGAGGCTGAGAAAGGTGAAAAATGCAGCCCATAATCCTAGAGCAAGTTAATACTTGAACTGCAGTAGAATCCAGGCTGCTTTGATTTCAAAGCCTCGGGCTTGCCTGTGTGCCAGATGATATTTTAGAGACAAAAATGTAACAAATATTTAGTAAATGCTATTAACTGTCAGGTGTTGTGGTTACTATAATTACAGGTCTTATCTCATCTAATGACATCTAACGAGATGTGAAAAATAAATAGATTTTGTAAACAATTAGCTCCAGAATGATCAGGTAAAGATCAGAGTACCTCTGGCTAAAAGGGCAAGAGGAGGGTTGGAGAAGTCAACAGATAAAACACAACAGCAGGCACTAAAGGAAAACAAATATGGATTCAAAATGAGGAAAATCCTTCTCATAATTTGAGGAGCTACCAACAGAATGGGCTACCCACCCTACCACTTTGTCTCCAGGAGTAACACTCAGAGCTCTCCTGGGCAGACAATGTGTCCTGAAACATTTTGAAAAGAACGCCAGGCTTCCCTTGGCCAACCTAAACATTTTTTTTTTATGCATACGTAGTAAAAGCAATGACAAAAATAAGGAATTTAAGGGTACATTTTTTTATGCTGTTTTTCAAAAAACAGATGAACTATAATATTTTAAAGTATACACTTACTGTATTGAGTTATTTTGAATGTCTAGCCAAATCATTTTGAAATGTGCTAAAGAAACTTCAAAATCTTAAGTAGCACTCACTTCCTTTTAAATCAAGAGGAAGAATTACTGGGACTGCCCCGGACAGAGCAGCCCGAGCCCTTGCTTCTGTCAGTCACCAATCGTCATTACTCTGTTGTCTTTTCCTGTGACAGAATGACAATTCCATCAGTGGAAGAAAATTTCCCAAAAGGTCAGCAGGGAAAGTGGAAAATGACTGACACAGCTTCTGGGCTCCACAAAGGAAGGTTGATGATAAAGTTTTGCTCAGAGATATTATTATGGTTGAATATTATGACATATCATTATTAATCTTGCTTTGGCCCTGGCCGTTTTGGCTCAGCGGTTGGAGCGTCGGCCTGCGGTCCTGAGAGACCCGGGTTCGGTTCCCGCTAAGGGCACATACCTCGTTTGCAGTTTGTCTCCGGCCCTGGTTGGTCGTGCAGGAGGCAGCCACTCGATGTGTCCCTTCACATCGATGTTTCCCTCTCTCTCTCTCTTCCTCTCTCTCCCTCCCACTCTGTACAAAAAATGGAAAAATGTCCTCGGATGAGGATAAAAAAAAAAAAATCTTGCTTTGGTCTTATGTTGGGACTTGTCCACTTTCTAATGCTATAAGCAGAAACTGACTTTTAACTTATAGGACCATTTCACTGTAACTATAGAAACATAATAGTGATGACGCTGTAACTCAAGTGGGGGTGAAGGATGCCAAACAGAAGAATTGAAATCAGCAAAACTTTTGCATTGGGTCAAATAAGACAACACGTGGAAAATTTATTATTTCCTTGTTAATTGGGCAAAACAGAAAACACAAAAAAGAATTTAAATGCAAAAGATGATGGCAATCAATTGGTATGTCACAACCTCACTGATGCCTCACATTTGAACACAATCCAGATTTTTGAAGTAATCGCATCAGCAGGAGGATTCTAGGGCTGGGGAGGGCAATGGCTTGTGAGATAAAGGTTTGACTGGAACCTGCTTCTAGAAACTTAGAGGCTTTTGTCTCATTTGGGAAAATTGGCCATAGAGGTCCCGATGCCTTCATTTTATCGGAAATCGACATAGCCTCAAAGCTGACCGAAACTGACGTACGCTTGAAATGGTCCTGGTTTCAAATCTAACTTTATTCAGTTTAGCATTGTATTTATAATGACTGACCGGAGAGCAGGCCATGTTTACATGAGTACTGTGAAGTCCCAAATATCTGAAAGTTCTACTAGCCAAACAGGTAAGAGGCCCAATTCTAACTAAAATTAACTCTGGCATCAAGACACAAAAATGTACAAGTGGAACATTTATGTTGATGAAGTACAAAGTTGTCCCATCTCATGGGTCTGGAATAGAGTGGTTAATGGCATTTGTGTTCTGCTTTATCAGACATATTCTCATGTATATTTTCTCATGTATGGTTTTTTGTTTGTTTCGATCCCGCAAAGCAGTCAAAATGGAAAGATAGAACAATAGTCAAAATAGAGTTGAAGGACAATTAACTATTGAAGGAAACTGCCCCTCACAAAATTTGATTAATTAAATCATATTTCTCATTTCTATTTTTTTCTTTCTTTCTTCTTTTAGACAGAAAATTGCAAAAATCACTGATGAAGTCATGTCTACCTCCAGGCCACACACCCAGCCTTTACTGTGTCCGAGCTTTGCTCCAGGGCCACGAACCTCCTCCTGCTCCCAAACAAAGGACACGCCTTTTCTTCTGTTCCCATAACTGCCGCTTCGGTTTTGAAGGAAAACTCTTACAGGGTTCAGGACTGCTGAAACCTGGAACCTTCCTGTTTTGACCTTACTTGTTCAACAGCACAGTGAAGGTAAAACACAGAAAAGGGAGGAAGGGCGACACGCAGTTCCCAAGCGAAGCCCGCTGTGGCCACAGCGCAGAGGCCTCCACGGGCTCCCGCTCTTTTAGCTCAGTCTCCTAAGTCTACACAGAGCATCATCTGTTTACACATTTGTCCTTGCAGTTAACCAAAACTCTCCCCAGGTTTTGAAAACATAAGAAAATAATAAGAATATAATAAGAAAATATAAGAATATAATAAGAAAACTATTATATTGTCCCTTCATCTGTCCATTCATTCATTCGTTAGCTCTCCATACATTCATTGAGCTCTCTCCCCGCTGTATTTGCCAAGCACTGGGGCTAGGCATCGGGAACTCAGAGATGACTAAGGTGTGGTCCTCAAAAAGATCTCAGTCACCTAACGATTTGGGTAAAGTAAAAGGAATTTAACCACCAGTTTAAGGAGATGCTCTGCCAGTCTCCCTGGACCAGAACAATCCCTAAGACAGATAACTTTGTGTCAGTGACAGCATCTGTCAGCAGGCCTCCCCCTTCGTCGAGAGCTTGGGTGAATTTCTGTAAGCATGTCTGAAAAGCAATGGCAGCTCTTTAGCATTGTCATTCCTGTGGCCCCAGGGTAATGATGGCAAATACCCGTGTGCTCAGGAAGAGCGGGACCTTGGTTACTTTAATAATCGTTTTAACTGATAATCATCACAGGAACCATCATGGTTTACTGAAGTCCTAAGACACAGAACACACGCTTTTGCATGACTACTTTAGAATCTCTTTAGCATCTTACCTTGCTGTGAGGTAATCATGTTAATAAAAAACTCTGAATACCGCACAAGCGTGTTACTGCCTCCCTCAGTCTTGGCCTCTCCCTTTGCTTATGTGCATCGCCCTCATCCTTCCTGGCCCAGCTCGAGCCTCTTCTCCTTCTTCCCTGGCTTGTCCAGCCTCGAGGATGTACTGCACCACTTACCACACATTTAAAAAAAATTTTTTTCTTTATTGATCTTTAGAGAGAGGAAGGGAGAGGGAGAGAGAGAGAAACATTGATGAGAGAGAACATCAACTGGTTGCCTCCAGCATGTCCTCCACTGGGGATTTGGCCAATAACCTGGGCATGTGCCTTAACCGGGAATTAAACTGGAGACCTTTTGGTGCATGGGTCGATGCTCAGCCACTGAGCCACACCAGCTGGGCACTTACTGCTCTTCTAACCTGCATGTTAAAGTCTTGGTCGCATCCTCCCTTCAAGTTCCTTTTTGATAACTGGACCTTAGGCCTTGGGTCCCACAGCACCTCACCTCACACAGAGTCCAGCTCACAGCAAATGTTCAATAAATTATGCTACGTAAAAGAAATGATTGTCATATGAGATAAATGTATTTTATTTTGTTAATGACAAAGGTTAATATTGCCTTTGATAAATATGACCATTTCTTTCCTAAACACTGATTTGATATTATTTTTGAATGTCTAAAATGTGTGAAAAGAATAAAAAGATATATACTCTTCTAATATATCCATCATTTGATTGTGATGGTTGGTATGCAGAGAGAGACAGTCAGCATAGACTTTGGGTAGAAAGTTGAATATTTCATACAACAGGTAATTAGTAACAATGAGGTAGCTTTCTTTTTTTTTAATGTTAAATTTACTAGTTTCCTTTCCTACTGCTTCAAGAACCCGTATTTCACTAAATAATTTATCTTATAATTGCTCAGTTCTTTAATTATCACGTCATTTAATTAACACATGTTTACTGAGGGTTTGTTACATGTGAGGACTCACTCTAGGGAATGTGAAGAACAGAAAAAA